CCCTGACAGAGCCAAATATTCTTTTATTTACAGAGCATTCAGATATTCATCTTAGCAATTTTCTATATTATTTTAATGAAAAGAAAATGGGAGCAAGAAAATATTTAAAGAAAAGATATTGCAAAACGGACAATTAGCAACAGTAAATGGCATTAAAAGTAAAATGTAGTTGCAAAGCTTGCCAGGTATTTGTTCCATTCAAAGAAAGTCCAATCTGTTATCAGAGTCATCAGCTCTCTTAAAGGAGAACTATGGGGTCAGTGTTTTTCCCCATAGTTCTCCTTAGGGTATCGGGAGGACACAAACTAGCGTCCCCCCGTTACCCTAAGCTCAGTATACTGCGAGCTACAGCTCGCGGTATACTGAGACGCCGCAGCCGGAGCGGATCCCGACGTAGATGACGGGATCCGCCCAGCTGCGTGAGTGACAGCTGGCTCTGCCTATCAGTCAGCGCTGGCAGATCGGAGCGGGGAGAGGGGAATCCAGCCCTCCCCCTGTCACGGCAGGGAGCCGTGACAGGATCGAGAGGGATGAGCGAACCTGCTATGTGTTCGCTCACCTCCCGATCTACTGAGCCGACCTGTGACAGTCTCATTGTCACAGGTCGGCTAGAACTATGAGGTGAGTGGAAATCACTCCTCTCATAGTTCTCCTTTTAAATGACTCTTTGCATTCATTAATAGATCTAATTAATGATGCATCGATACCGGTATTTCGGTACGAGTAGCGATATTTTTTTCCGGTACTCGCCGATACCGAATACCTAGTACCAGAAGTCCCATTCAGGAAGCCAGGCGGTGTGTAATGACTCGCCACCTGGCTTCCTGATTAGCCAGGAAGCCGAGCAGCGTGTAAAGACTCGCCACCCGGCTTCCTGATTAGCAAGGAAGTCGCCCCCATGCTTCTCGTTACTGCGTGACGAGAAAGCATGGAGCCAGCTTGCTGGCCAATCATGGAAGCCGGGCGCCGTGTGATAGACGCGGCGCCCGGCTTCCTGATTGGCCAGGAAGCCGGCTCCATGCTTTCTCGTCACGCAGTAACGAGAAGCATGGGGGTGACTTCCTTGCTAATCAGGAAGCCGGGTGGCGAGTCTTTACACGCTGCTCGGCTTCCTGGCTAATCAGGAAGCCAGGCGCTGCCTCATTACACGGTGCCCGGCTTCTTGATTGGCCAGCTTCCCGAGTGACGAGGGAGCATGGAGCTGGCTTCCCGGCCAATCGGGAAGCCGGGCAGCGTGTAATGACGCGCTGCCTGGCTTCCTGATACAGGAAGTATCTGGCTAGGCATCGGAGCATTTGGGCGAGTATGAGTATCGGCACCGATACTGATACTAGTATAGTATCGGTGCATCCCTAATTCTAATGGTACCAAGAGCTCAGAGCTGCAAAATCAGCAGTCTTTCCTGGTCCCAATGAGGGCATTTACAGAATTAACATAACCAATCAAACGGTCTCAAGGGTGTGCTGAAGGGGTGTTGAAGTGTTTTATGATGCTCAGAAACCAACATAATGAACTAACAAAATTAAATTACAATTTGACACCAAATTTGATATGAATCCTATGCATGTCTTCCTCAGAAAGTGTAATAGGATGAGTGCTGCATTCCTCTTAGCTGGCCTGTGCCCTGCCAATGGTTCATCAATTGGAATGTTTTGAATGAGATTTATGATGCTTCTGCTTTTTGTTTATTTGTCTTAAGCAGCCTGTGTTGAATTTTCCAGGGTGTTTAAGTCTGATTTGTGGCTGTTCACCTTTTCCACCAGAGACATAAGATTTAAATCTGTTATCTAGGATTGAAACAACTAATCGGTTTTGTTGATAATAATCAATAATGAGAATCATTGCCAACAATTCTCATTATCAATTAGCTGATCTGCGCTCCGATCCCCGCTACTCCCAGCAGGAATTGGAGGGGACACTAAACAATAAAGTAAAAGAATGATAAAATAATTGAAAAAATAGAAACAAAAGTTAAAGAAAAAAAAGCCACCCCCCCCCAAAAAAGAAAATGATTGAGGCAATTGCTAGGAGCTCTGTTACATCTGATGTAGGCACACCCCCAGAACTACATTTTACAGAGCCCTTCTACACACAGTGTGTGGCCAGGTTCTTGTGAGTCAAGGCAAGAAGCATGGATTTGCTAGAAAAAGAAATTGGCGTATGCACATGGAAAAAAGAACAGGGTGGGGATAGATGGATTTTTGTAATCCAGCAGGCAGGGCTGACAGCACTGATTGGGATTTGAGTGCAGCAAAGGAAGTGCTTCAGCCCAAACAGGATGTTAGGAGCACACTGGATTTCTGGAGATCAACAGTTTTTTTTTTTTGTACTTTCAACATAACTAAAGGGATAAAACATGGGAAGATACTTGTAGTGGACAGATGTACTAAATCGTTTTTTATTTTATTTTTGTTTTGTATTTTGCATTGACATATAGTGTAAGTCCAGCACATAGATCCCCCAAGCCTTCATGTAGGTCTTTTAAGATCCTGATTGGAATCTGAATTGAAGTTTAATTGACAGCTATGAGTCCCTGTACATTTCACTTAGCATTTTTCTCCTTATGTTACCCAGAAGAGGTTCCATATGACAGTTTAGTGAACCACTGCTGTGCAAAGACAGATCAATAAACTTAGTGAAGTAGACTTTTTTTTTTTAAAACACAAAACTGCATTCTTCTCTGTAATATTGAAATAGACGGTGTAATGGCTGTGGGTGGTGTGACTGAATATCTGAAGGTCAGATGATTGACCTCTTAAAGTGTAAGAACCCTGAGGTGTGGAAACACCTTTACTAACAACTAAAAGTGACCAGAAGCACAGTTCTTGGGTTCCAATAAAGGGTTTTTAAACCTAAGAACAACAAGGTAATATATGACAGCTTACCAGACCTTAGATTGGGTGCATATTCTGCAAGTACAAAACAAAATGTAATTTTTTTCAGGAGAGCAGGCTAGGGCAGGAAGTTTGTTTATTAGCAGCACCACCTAGGGTTGCCACCTTTTCTTCAAGCCAAACCCGAACACTGTAGCACCTCGCGGCAATTTTTTTGTAAAGTATACACGACGCATGTATTTGGAGTTAATCACAACTTGCCAGTGTGCCACATGTCCCCAGAAATATTTTTTTTTAATAAACCTTTATATTTTTTTATATTTATTTTTATTTATTCATTCATTTTTTATTAAATATTTTTCTTCTTTACTTTACTTTTAGGGGCTTCGGGGAAATATTGGGGATCTAAACAGAACCCTGATATTTGCCTTTTAAAATTGAGAACAGAAAGTCCTCAGAGAACACA